AAAAAAACTATGATAAAAGCAAATTATGAACTGATAGAAATACATGGTAAGAGTGCAGGTGAAAACATCATGTGGTGAGCACATGATGGGAGGCCTTGGAATTCTGGTTTTGTTCTCTATGCACAAAATTGCTCCAGCCTTTTCTAGCACATTGGTCTTCTGTATAGGTTTCAGGTAAGTCTTCAGTAAAGGGGTAAGCATGTAGTGCTTTTCCCCTGGAATTTATCTGAAGAGAATAAGCAGATGAGTGCCAAGTAATGGGCACAGAGAGGTATTTGTCAATAGTGTTACATGGGAAAAGCAAGCTATCAACGTTTGTAAAACAACATAAATAGGAGACTATTTATATGAGAATATATGTATGTAGAATTTGCCATATAGCCACCTCTCTATAAGAGATTTCACTTAGAACAGTCTGAATGCTTTTCAAGCATACATTAACCTTCATAACTTATAGACAAGACTGTTCCCCATTTGAAGAGAGCTTTCAGGCAGGTACCATTTAACCCTAGGGCTCAAGGGCTTGGTCCCATTTTTCCATTGCTGGGTGCTTGGGGGGCTTTCAGGCTCTGAGTTTCCACCACTTCATGTTTTCTCTTCCCTGCAGACTGTAATAAGGTTACTGACCTGTGCCTGTCCTTCTTCAAACGCTGTGGAAATATCTGTCACATTGACCTGAGGTACTGCAAGCAAGTTACCAAGGAAGGCTGTGAGCAGTTCATAGCTGAAATGTCTGTGAGTGTCCAGTTCGGGCAAGTGGAAGAAAAACTCCTGCAAAAACTGAGTTAGTTCAAGGACAAGTCTGTAAATATGGGCCGGGTGTGGGGAGGGCTGTGGCAGGGGAGGGCAAGACTACAAAAACTAGGGTTTTATTTTCAATTTGGAACATGGAACAACAGACCACAGAACGATTCCATGTTCCAAGTCTCGCCAAGGGAGAAGCCGTTCCACCACCTGTTGTGGGAATGAGTGAGCCAGACGCTTTCCTTTGGTCTTTCTGAATTGTAACTGCACTGCTTTCTGGACCATTTCTAAGGCGGCCTTTACCAAGAAGACATTCCTGTCAGAGAGGAGGATGGACTTTAGAGAAATTCTCTTAGCGAGGCATGAGCTTAGGAGTTTTTGTTGGTGGTGGTGTTTTAGACACCTCATTCCTTGCAACTCCAGGGTTTTTGGTGTCAACATAAAGTGGACCACACACATCTGCTGCCCTCTTAACATTTTTTTGTTTGGTTTTGTTACATCTTACATTATGCAGAACTATTTTTGTACAAATTGTTTAAAAGTTATTTATGCAAGGTTTGAATGCATACCAGTGTTTTTATTGTTTTGAGATTGCCAACTTCCCTGGTTTCCTTAAAGTAGGAGAGAACTTAACCTGTACTTCATCGACACAAATCCATCTACACATGTGCCCAGATCTGGCAAAGCAGGCCTAAGACCTTCCTGTTAAAAGCATGTTTAACTAGAAGCTGACAGCCTGGTCTGTATGTCAAGAAGTTACATAAGCATGTTGTGGATATATGTAAATTATAGTCAAAGTAAGACACTTTGCCAAGTTTCCTCTGTATAGAATTCACCTTTCTCAGAATTTTAAAATTCAGACTTCAGCCTTTGCACTCAGAAGGGTTTTGCTCCAGCATGAGCTCTTGTACTCTGCATAGATCTAATTTATACACTGAGTCAAGAAGTAGAATAAATGATCCAGCATAGCCTTTCTTTTCCTTTTTTCTCTTTGAAGTGTGTGTTGAGTTCTCATTTGAGGTTTAGAACATGGCTATTTCCTAGTTGCAAAGTTATACATTCATAAGTGCCATTGTTGTAAGGTGTTGTTTTCTTAGACCTCCCCTGATGCAGTTTCACCTTTGTTGAATTTGTATAAACAATTGTACAAAAAACAGTCTTGGACTTTGAGGGTTTCTGTTCTGGGAGTGGACTAATTTGGGAAGTCTAAGAGGCAGTAGTCTCAATATTATAGCTTGTTTGGCTTAAAAATAATGTATACTAATTTCTTACTCATCTGAGAAATACAGCAGCCTCTGGTACATGGTTTTTCCATCTTCAGAGAAAGCTTGCTATTTATGGCTAATAAAAGTAATAGGAAAAAAACCTATACTACACCAATAGTCATGTGCAGGAACTCAGTACCGAGTTCCTTGCGGGACAGGGTGGCTTATCTGGGTGTCTCTGACCACACCTATATAAAAAAACTTAATAGGCCGCCTGGCATTTCCACTGCCGAAGGGGAGGAGGAGTCCATTTCCTCAACCTCCCACTAAAGGCGGCCACATCCTGCACTCAGTAACTTTGGGCCAGAGTGGCTGGAGACAGTTATGAGGTAGCTTACCCAGGTGGCAGACACAAACCAATGAAGTAAATTTAAATGACCGAAGTTCCTTTAAGGGCAGGACCCTGCAACCTCTTACTCATATTAGAAATGACTGCTGAGGTGAATCTGGAAAAGGGGAAGATAACCCAACTTCCTTCCTTAGTAATCAATAGCAGCATAAGGCCTTGGTCTCCTGGGATGGGAGTTTCATCCCAACCCCCAACCCCCATCTTTTTTTCCCTTTTGCCACAGCAAAATGGCTTTAGATACCATCTAGGTTCCTGCCTCCTGTTAATTTAAATCCAAAGATCCTTTCTGACTCAAACTGAAGACATCTGAAGCTGAGGAACTCTGGAATTTAATTCAGGAGATGCACTTAACAGAGGTAATATTAGTTGAACAATCTATGGTTTCTTTGTAAAAATGTGGCTTACCTTTGCAAGCCTGGTCATTGTGGAGTGCCCCTACAAGAGGTCAAGTTTTGGTGTTCTTGGCAGCTCAAGTTCTCTGAACCTCCAAATAACAGTTACCCTGGTGTCCAATAAAGGCATCCTTTTCTTTGGGAATAGCTTTTAAGGTAACAGTGATTTCCAGTTTCCAGGTGAACAGCCCTTGGGGTTTGCCCTGTTTCTCCTGTAATGTCTCCAGAAGCATGGAAGGCCTGCCAGGACTAGGGAGCCAAAGCTACCACAGGGATGCACCAGAGAGCCATCTCCTGAGGGAGGCTGCTGCAGTATAGTGGTCTCAGATGAGCTCCCTGAAGGCGTCCTGAACAGCAGCCCAGTTAAGATTATATCCCAGTACACAATCTCTAGACAGACCTATTTCAAAAGAGCTTTAGATGAAGCCAGCCTAAGCTAGATGCTTGCAAACGGCTGCTCTGAGCCCACACACCATATCTGATGAAGTAATGAAAGGGCCATAAACCAGGGGAGAGTGCTTCCCGTGTTAGTTGCAGCTTTCTAAATCCAGGAAGGAGGCTCCATCCCTCTTCCCTAGGAAACGATGTTCACCAAGGACTATATCCATGGCAAAGCATTGAATGACATCTTTCCACAGTTTGAGGATGGGAACAAGAAGACATAATTGTATTCCATTCCGGACCTTACGACTTTTATCCATATATTATCTATTCAAAAAATTAAGGAGGCATGGCATGCCAGCAAGAAAAACACAGATTGTAGGGAGAAATGTTGGCCCTCTGCCAAACAAGCTAGTACCTTATTTCACACGTGTCAAGACCATTAACGCTAAAAATTTGCTGGCTACCTACTAAACCAAGGTTACTTTAAAATGCTACCTTAAAAAAAATCTACCATTGAATTTTTCTAGAAACAAGCACCTAAGACTATAAATTCAAGAAGAAACATTAAATAAGTTGTTTGAAGCTGAGACTGTATACAAGTAAATCTCAATTTTCTTATTTTACTTTATATGAACCAGCACCTGCTGCTCAGCTTCAATTTTAGTGTTTTCTATCACCTGTTGGCTGGATTTGAAGACTTTCTTCCACCAAATTAGCAATTTGTGGGGAAAGTTGAATTCTTAGCATTCAGTGTGTCATGAGAAGGACAGACAAGGTAAGTGCTCCTAAAGCTTCAAGCAGGGGCTGAGCTTTTACTGCTTCTGTAGGGAGCTGTCAGTTCAGGGTGGTTACTGAAAATAGTGGCCAACACCCACCCTGGGCTCTGCAGGCAAATGGGAAAAAGGGTACTTGAAAATATGAGACCTTGATATACACGCTCTGACCCTCAAAACCAGAAAAGGTAGAAAGACTTTTTTCTTACAACTAGCCAAACTTCCTGATGTAAGCACAGGGACAATCTGCCTCCCTTGCTGTAATTTTCAGGTTTGTTGATTGACTCATGGATCCTGAGCATCCAAAGATGTGACAGAGTCAAAAGATAAAACCCAACAGGACTCTGCTGAGAAATCTGGCATTTCTTAAAAATATACCTGCCTGCTATCGGTGGGAATGAATCCAACTGTGGATCCACCCTGATTAGAGTTAGACCTAAAGGAGAAAAGATTTCAGATCATTCATGTCCTAAGAACCTTTCTGCATAAGCTAATGTCCTGGGTTTCTCATTTGCTGTGTGATATTGGAAGAATTAAGAAAATAAAACATTGGCATCAAAAGTAGGTCAAATTATGATGTGTCCACTTTTTAACTGAGATTTTAGACGAGTTCTTTAACTTGTCAGAGTTTGGGTTCCCCAATATCTATTATTTCAGAATGCTGGGCATAACTAAGAGGTACCTTGCATAACACCTGGGCACAGTAAATAGCAAATCAGAAGTTAACCTCACTGGTTGGCAAACGTAGATTGCTACATCTTTGAAGGTGCTCCCACCGCTTGTAAAGCAGGTGCTACACCAGACATGGACATCCATTCATGCCATATCCAAGTGAATTAGGAACTGACCAGAACAATGTAAAGAAAAGCATTTTTTTAAATCTAATTTTATTCCTAAAGTTTAAGTTAGCTAGCCAGTAGCACTGAAAAATACATTTTCACTATACAAAAATGGTGTAAACTGATTCCACAGTAACAAAGAATTTAACACACTTACCTAGTTAAAGAAGCTAGATGCAGCCATTGCTATAAAAAGCAGTATATGAAACGGACATGTTTAGTCTAAGGCCCTGGCAGTTGACTACAGAATGTCAGTTGTTTCCAAATTTGTTTAATGCAGAAATAGCAACAGTGTGGAAACTTACATTCATCAAATAGTAGCATTTAAAATATACATGACTAATGAAGTGGACATTCACTTGTGGACAGTGATCTCATCCAAAGAGAACAGAAGTTTCAAACATCTGAGTAGTTTAAGTTAAAAATAGGATGGAGGAGAAATAAGAGAACAGAATAAACATTCTCCAAAGAGAGCAGTAGCTGATACTGTAAGCAGTCTGACTTCAGCAATTAGTGATCTTGGATGTGTGAAGAAGCCTGACAGAAACTCGGAAACAGCATTGTCCACAGGCTGACAGGACCAATGTTGCCGCAACTAAGGGTGACTCTGTCTCCGGTTAGAAGTGAAGATTACTTTAATAATAGTTTAAGCCTTGGAACAGTCAGTTTCCAGTCCTGGGGGCAAGTGTCTTGTCAGGGAGAGCCTCAGTTTCAGGACTTGAACACATGCACAGCACGTACCACATACTGCCGGCAGATGGGACACTCACTCATGCGCTTGCCACACTTGGTACAGGTGACCATGTGCCCACACTCGAGCAGGACACAGTCAATGACGGCGTCCATGCAGATACGGCACAGGCTGTCATCTTCCTCATCCTGCAGCTGCAGCCGCTCACCATCTGAAAGGGAACAGAGAACTGGGGCTGCAGGCATGGCTGCCTGGTGGAGTAGCCATCTGCTGGGTGACCAGGGCAGGCCCGGAATGAACCCAGTGCTTTAAGAGAAATAATCTAACTTCTCTGCACTTAAGTTCCTCCATTAGAAAAAGCAATAATAATGCCTACAGTTCAGTTTTGTGAAAAATAAATGAGAAATGTTTAGCTTAGGGCCAGTTTATGAAGTACCCAACAAGTGGCAGCTACTTAATATATTTCACATCTCTATTGTAATAGAAGGTTTTTGTGATAAGGATGGATTACTAATGTAAATAAAAATGAAGAAACCCTGGGCGGGCCTCACAGACGGTTGGCAATCTCCAGCCCAACTGTGTGGCCCTGGGAAAGTTACCACCTCCAAAACCTCGTATCTCAGTAGAAAGAGGAGCTTTATAGCTACACTGAGGGAAAAGTTAAGAAGAGCTGTACATCAAGTAACCTATAGCTGGGGAAGGCACTCCCACTAGTCTTAGAAGCATCTTGAGCCATCTGTGTTCCTGGCTCCCCTGGTACTGTTGAAGTTTAACTCAAAGGGAAAAGCCATCCTGGCTCTTGTGGCCCAGATTTAGGTTCTGAGAAAATCAAGAGATTCTTGTAATCTGGGATCTTAATTCACAGCCCATGCCCCTACTGGGGAGAGTGGATTCATGGTTTAAGATGACAGATGAGCCAAGGGGTTTAAGATGACAGACAAGAGCAAATCTGAGTCTGGGCCTTGGTCTCATTTCCTCAAGGAAGGTTCTTTCCAACTCTTACACTTCTGAGCATAAAGCAGACAAGCCAGAGTTTATCAAGGCTATTATATAAGGTTATTGGAGTGAATTGGCATAAGTGGCTGCAGCCAGTAAAACAGGAAAGATTCCAGCTGTGCTCAAAACGTGTATTGCACAAGCCTGGAGATTGGACCTGGGATTAAGCAGCAAGTTAACTGAAAAAAGCACTCTGGCAATCACGCATGTGGTGCCTCCTCTACCATATGCTCCTGAGGGTGGAAATGGCTGTGCACTACCGGCGTGCACTGTACAGTTGGCATTTACATTTACTAAGTAAAAGGATTTCTCCCCTCACTGCCAGAATACCATTTCTCAGCCACAGCCTGGGACCTCTGAAGGCTCTAAGGAATAAGATGTGTACCTACCATTGTGGCATTGTCTTAGAAACAGGCAAGCCAAAATACTTCCTTCATATGCTGGGCATAAACCTGTTTTATCAGTAAACACTGCATTTTTATAACTAGCTTAAGAAAACACTCCAGATGATAAAAGTTGATGATGGGAAGACTGTGTAAGTCTAGATAGGAACATACTATTTGTCAGTCTGAACACCACTGAATTCTTTTTTCTTGCTTATAAATGCTCTGTGGTTTGGCCGTTACCAGCTGAGGATTTCTGTTCCACACTTCATCAATAAATAGTTCAAAAGTTCATAACCTCAGCTTTTCTTGACTTAACGCAGAAACCTACTAATACTTGTTGCTAAGAACTACTTAACATCTTGGCTCTAGGGAATTTTTTTCCCCACTGTTAGGATTTAAAAGCCAAAATTGAGATAATCAAAGCATTGGCCTGTCAGAGGGGTTAGTAAGAAAACATTTTTATAGAGACAAGGCATTTCAACAGAGTTCTAACAAATGATACCAAGAAAAAGCAGACTGAACAAATGACTGCCTAACTCACTTGGCAATGGAGGGTGGGAGTCTCCCACTGGTGGTCTCAGAGTGAAGACCCCATAAGGAACTTACTACTTCACAAATCTATAACCAGGTGTATGTAACAAATTCACAATAAAAGGATATAGTTTTCTCAAAAATAAATTTGCCTTGTGACAGGAACAGCCCAGTTTTTAAAAGCTTAAGGATAGTATAGATGAAAAAAAAAAAATGAACCTACATGACTTCTGGTTTTCTTCATTCTCTTTGTATAACCGGTTTACTCTCTCTACGAGCTCCCATTTTTCACAACAACCAGAATAGTTGACAAAATTCCTAGCCAGGATTTCCTTCAGTTGGCGCACACTCATCCCTTCCACATCGTCAAGGCTGGACAGGTCAGACAGTGAAGCTCTCACTCTCTTAGAGAGGCCAGGTGTCTGGAATCACAGAGTGCTGTTATCTCTGAGCAAACCTAGACCCCCCACAGCAAGGAAAACGGCATGCTCCCCTCACCCAGTAGTCATTACTGGCCCTGCATATTCTTCCCAGGCTTCAACTCAGTCCTTGAAATGTTTTATATGTATTATGCTACATTCAAACCAGAAGAAACATTCTGTGCTAATCTAGCAGAAGTCCACACGGGCATTTTCCCTGCCTGGCAAGTTGACATGTCAGGGAAACCAAATTTCATAGGAGAACTCACCCGCGCCTCCAAGTGTTCTTCTCCATCGTCATCGTCATCCTCCTCCTCCTCCTCCTCATCATCTGTGTTTGCTGAGGCTCTATCACTTTGCTCCTACAAATATAATGATCTGATTAGGTCAGGAATCCTATTTTCCTAACAGTATCAACCCACATTTATTACTATAGAGAAAGCCTTTCCACAGTCCCTCTCCAAGGATGATCCCAATACCCAATACCCAAAACATGACCTCTTGGATCTCGAATCCCACTGCCCCTCCTGAAGAGTTGGGCCCTAACTTCATAAACTTACCTCCCTTGATGGTATCCCAAAAGTCAAATTCCTATGTGTGTGTGAATTTGTAGAACCTAACCAGAGTATTACCTCCCTGAGGAAAATCCCATCATGGAAATGTCAAAGTTGTAAGCATATAGAATTGCATGGTGTTATCAAGACCTGCATATGGCTGGTTTAACTGGAGCCTCTAAGATACAGATAGAGACTAAAGTAAGATCAGCCCAAGTGTCACAGGCATTCAACTTGAAACATCTCAGTCCTACTCAGACTTTTTTTTTTTATTTTGGTATCATTAATATACAATCACATGAGCAACACTGTGGTTACTAGGTTCCCCCCATTATCAAGTCTCCACCACATACCCCATTACAGTCACTGTCCATCAGTGTAGTAAGATGCTATAGAGCCACTACTTGTCTTCTCTATGCTATAGTGCCTTCCCCGTGGCCCCTCCTATGTTACGTGTGCTAACTGTAATGCCCCTTTTTCCCCTTATCCCTCCCTTCCCACCCATCCTCCCCAGTCCCTTTCCCTTTGGTAACTGTTAGTCCATTCTTGGGTTCTGTGAGTCTGCTGCTGTTTTGTTCCTTCAGTTTTTGCTTTGTTCTTATACTCTGCAGATGAATGAAATCATTTGATACTTGTTTTTCTCCACCTGGCTTGTTTCACTGAGCATAATACCCTCTAGCTCTATCCATGTTGTTGCAAATGGTAGGGTTTGTTTTCTTATGGCTGAATAATATTCTATTGTGTATATGTACCACATCTTCTTTATCCATTCATCTGATGGACACTTAGGTTGCTTCCATTTCTTGGCTATTGTAAATAGTGCTGCGATAAACATAGGGGGGCATATGTCTTTTTGAAACTGAGAAAACTGTATTCTTAGGGTAAATTCCTAGTAGTGGAATTCCTGGGTCAAGTGGTATTTCTAATTTAAGTTTTTTGAGGAAACCCCATACTGCTTTCCACAATGGTTGAACAGATTTACATTCCCACCAGCAGTGTAGGAGGGTTCCCCTT